TTGATAACGAAAGATGGTATCACTTTTGTATAAATTTCTATAATAACATCATCAATTCTGAGATTTTTTCGATCAGGAAAATAGTCATGTTTGAGTGTTCTAAAATGAGCTTCGGCAATATTGTTAGTTGCGTCGCCTTCACGCCTGTCACGAGCAATCCATCTTGATATGTTGTAACGCCATTGTCTGTTAAAGTATTGAGATGCTGTTGGATCTGTGTCGAGCAACTCCAGAACTTGATCATAGGCAGCATTTGCTTCTTCCTCATGTTCTGCATCTAATTTGAAGACTAAATCCTTCATCAAATTATAGAATTGTTCAAATTTTTCTTGAGAAGAAAACTTATTTGATTTGCGAAGAATTGCACGAAGAACATGTACTCCGCACCAAAGTATTTGAGCTTGTGGAATGCTTTCTTCTATTGCTTGAGCTATCTGTGGAGCACAGTCCATGCTAATGTATTCTGGCTCAATTGTTACCCATCTGAGATAGGCGCACACGCAAACTTGAATGTTTTGATAAGTGTCTGGTTGACAAAAGAAATATAAAAAAGGGAAAATGTGAAAATCTTTGATTTTGCCAGTAAATGCATACAATGGAATGTTTGATCGCAACAATTTATAGGTGCTGTCTATATGAAATGTCTTGATACTATGCGCATAAGCTTTGCCTTCAAAAGGCGCGTAATAGAAACACATATTATTGTCTGAGACTTCAAATGCAATGAGATCATCTGGAGATTCTTCTTGTACTGTCTGAACAAAGATTTGCAATGACACAACATCGTCAGGAGAATATCTAGTTTGAAGAGCATGTATTCTCTCTGCAAATCGTTTGATTGCACGTGGTTTTTGAGCGTACATCTCTGGAATGGACGGACCTGTAAGAGGAATTTCAAGATCTTTGAATGCATTTAGCTGTGCTATCGCTCTTTGATTGTCATCTGTTTGGAAGTAATGTTCTAAATATTTGCGATAAAAGACAGACGAATATTGACTTTTGTCATTTGGGGCGGAATGATCATGTTCTTCAACTATTTTGATTAGTTTGTATTTATTTTGATCCAAGATTGCAACATTAAAATGTGCAGGACATTTTGGATATTTGCAGTGGAATGAAATCTGAGATCTTTCTTTCCTGACACGTTCACCATATCCATACTGTGCTTGTATTTCTTGTTTAACTCCAAATTTACAAAGATCCATAACAGTAAAGATAGTTTCTTCTTCTAATTCCATTTGAAATTGAAATGAAAATTAAAAATTCAGAAATTTGAATAGATTTGGTCTGTAATTAAATGAGAATAGCAGTTTGTTCGTCATTGTTTGAGGCAAGAGTATTATAGGAATATTATATGATGGATTTGAGTTGCATATAAAGAGTGCAAAAGGATAAAGAGAGAAATTTTGTTAGATTAAATTATTAAATTTTAATTCTTTATTTTTTAGGATTGTTAGCTTTGTAAGATTGCTTTCTCACAAGAGAAAACAAGTATAAGGTTTAAGCTGTATGTATTAAAGTTATAAATATTTGATTTTTAAAAAAATCAAGATTTTAAACTTTAAAGGTATTAATTATGATTATCTTTCTTTAGCTTTACATGCTGTATGCTACTTTTGGAAACTGCTCTATTGTATTAGAATGTTTTTAAATTTTGCACCTAAAAATGCGTAATACTAAAAATTAAGGTATTAATTATGATTATCTTTCTTTAGCTTTACATGCTGTATGCTACTTTTGTCTTTGAGACATTCCATGATTTAAGTTAAGAAGCTTTAAAAAAATGCAAAAAAAATTGAATACTTTACTGGCTGGGCAAATTTGTCGCCGCCCCTTTTAAAGATTATTATGTAAAATATAAGATAAACTTTTAGCTAAATCGAAGTGTAATAAACAGAAATTCATCAAAAGTGACAGCTCTCAATTTTTTGACATTTGTAAATTCGAAATTGAATGAGAAAAATGAAATAATACTAAGCATAATACAATATTCTAGATTTAATTATAATTAGGAAAAAGTTGGTTTTGAGAGTACTTTTCATAGGCATATAGAATGAAATCTTCTGAAAAATAATATCACATAAACTCATATTATTTTCTAATATATAACTATTTTATATAAAAATCAAATTCAATGATCTTAAAAGCGAAGGATAAACCTCAAAATTTACGAATATAATGAGTGGGAATATAATGCTTATCTATCATAAAACCATATGAAATATCAATTTTTGCTTTACGCCTAATTTTTGACGACAATTAGCAAAAAATGTTAAATGTTAACACTCAGTCCATTTGAATATGAAAAATAAAATTGACTTTGATTAAATGTTTTTATTTATCATGCAATTCTTCTTGCGACCAAAGATTTGAATAAAAGTTCAAAAAATAAGATAGCTTAAAAAATAATATACGGTAGTGTTTACTAATAGATGAATAGTATATAAATTCTATTAAAATGGATTTGATCCAAAAAATATAAAACCAAAAATAATTGTTATAATTTAAATGAAGAAGTAATTTAAAACGATTTTATTTATGATCAAATTTTATATATTTTTTTGGATCAAATCCATTTTAATAGAATTTATATACTATTCATCTATTAGTAAACACTACCGTATATTATTTTTTAAGCTATCTTATTTTTGAACTTTTATTCAAATCTTTGGTCGCAAGAAGAATTGCATGATAAATAAAAACATTTAATCAAAGTCAATTTTATTTTTCATATTCAAATGGACTGAGTGTTAACATTTAACATTTTTTGCTAATTGTCGTCAAAAATTAGGCGTAAAGCAAAAATTGATATTTCATATGGTTTTATGATAGATAAGCATTATATTCCCACTCATTATATTCGTAAATTTTGAGGTTTATCCTTCGCTTTTAAGATCATTGAATTTGATTTTTATATAAAATAGTTATATATTAGAAAATAATATGAGTTTATGTGATATTATTTTTCAGAAGATTTTGTGTTCTTCTTCAAAATTTTATTTTTTTATTAAAAAGAATCTTTACAAAATATACATTTACTTTAATTAATATTTAAAAACGTGCTCTATCAAAAGTTCCAAAAATTCAATATTTTAGCTTTTCTGAGGTGTCACTTTTGATGAATTTCTGTTTACAACAGAAGTAATTTAGAGAACAATTTGAGATTTTAGAGATTTTTCAAATGAAATATTTAAAGCAAAGAATTTATTAAGAATTTGTTGTGAAATGAATACACTTCGGTAAGGCATTAGATTGGCGTGATAATTGACAAAATTGGAGCTGAAGTTTGGTTCACAAATGAAGAATATGTCTAAGCTATAACAAAAAATTGTAATATATTTGAAAATCTAATAGTTTTATTTAGTAATTTGATATCGATGCGATCATAGATATTGATTTGAGTATTAAATTCGAAATTTTGTAATTTATAATGATATTTAGGAGCTGTAAAGCTAAAGACTAATTAAGTATATGATGACAAAGAACTTGCTAGAGATTAAAATCTAAAATTTTAGAATTTTTAAAATTAAATTGAAACTACATGAACATATTAAGAATCTTTTAAAGTATACTGGCACTCCAATAAGTCATTAGTTCAATGTGATGCATTAGAAGTTTGATTGAAAAGTCTGGTTAAGAAATGATGAAAATGTGAAATGAAAATGCAGCATTTCTCTCAATTTTCAGACACTTTTTGCCTATCGTTTTCGAAGTGGCGCTTCGCGCCGCTAATAAAATTTTGAGAACAACTTTAGTTGTTTGTTCGGCAAAATTATTTTAACGAATTACGATTCATAATTTGTTGTAACATACTAATCTCTAATTGATTTTTGACTTTTGATAATAAATTATTAATAAATATACTGAAAAGTCATTTTCTTCGCTATTTGATTGGCGCTTTGCGCCAATCAAATAGCTCAGATTAAGAATATGATATTATTTCAAATATGATGAAAATTTTTGAGTGAAAACTATTAAAAATAAGTCTTAAAAAATACATTTTTAGAAATGGTTTTTGATTCTTAATCATTTTATGTTTCAGCAACAGACAATCACTATATATATATCATCTAGCGGCGCTACGCGCCGATAGATGAATGAAAATAACGAATATACGTTATTTTGCAAAAAGTGCCAATCTCTAATGGAATCACAACTAGGAACTTGATCAACAATCACTCAAATAACAATTTTCCATATGAAAATTCAAAAAAATTACACAAATATTTATATGCAACGTACAGTTTTGTAATTACGAGCTTACATACGCCAATATAATCTTATCAATATTATTTTTACTTAAACAATCAAAACTCATACGACAATACACTTTTCAGAATAATACACCTCAAAAGAATATAGAATAAAAGAATTTTGTTAATTTTTTTTACAAAATGAAATTATTATTTTTACTTTGAGGAGTTTATTTAAGATAAATGCTTGTATTTTACGATTTCAGTTCATATTTTTAGAATTGGCGTGAGAATTTGCTTAATACTAAATTGTGAATCTTTCTATTGCGTATTAGGACATTTATTTAACGAAAATTCTATCGTTGAGAGCTTTAATAATTAGTGTGAAATATGACAAACTTCCAATATTACTTTCTTTTTGTATATGTGATGTAATATTTAAAGAAGAAATCACAGAGAGCAAGTAAAACTAATGTCAATTTATTACCTATCTATCATATATCTTCTACCATAACGTATGGGCTAATTTTATATGAGGACAAAACAAATTGTAATAATTGGAGTTTAATTCATGCAAAATTTTGCTAAATTGAATAGTATATGCATCAGATTCGTAAGGTAGTATTATTTTCTTAATATAAGCCCCCTAAGTCTATTCTATGGGTCACCTCAAGTCGAATGCCTTCTTTCATAACAAAAATTTAAACAAGGTTTCACTAGATGCTTATTAAATATTATAGTTGTTGAGTTTTTCCTTAATGTATACGAACAAACATGGTTTTTATATAATAACATACAAACAAAATATCATTTCCTTAATGTATACGAACGAACTCCTATATGAGTCTTTCGCGCCAAGGCAGTAGCCATTCTATCGACTTCCTCTTCTGCTTCCCTTTCAGCTACTAGCCTTTTATGAAGTTTTGCGTAATCAAACTTATCCTCTTCTTTCTTTTCTTCGAATTCATCTTCCCGCTTCTTAAGAGGAGGTACAACTGGATTGAGTAAGATAGTTGGTGATTTAGTGACTTTCTTCTTTTCTACCTTTCTTTCAACTAGAGGAGGTTCTTTTTTCACAGCATCAAACTCATTCAAAATCATTTCAGGAGTTAGAGTAACTCGACTGAGGATATATTTAGGGTTGAGATCATTGTTGTTAATCTCAATCTTTTTGCCATTTGGCAATTCTATAATTGTAACATTTTCGTTTTGTGTTGGCATATTTAAGTTTTTGCTTTGATTTATAACAGTATCTCTTTGAAGATACCACTTATATATACCAGATAATGGTGCAGGAGAAATAGGAGATGCACGTGCTGTTTCTTGAAGAAGTAGAAAAAGTGAATCGCAAAATTTTGATAATGCAATAAATGTTCCTCTTTGATTTGAGGTTAAAATCGATGCTTCCATTTGATTTCTATTAGTAAACCACTGATCGAGATATGTAGTCATTTCGTCAAAGTGCGGAAAACACATTAAGGGTGATTTTTTCAATGCATCCATATTAAACCTCGAGTGGATAAAGCGAGGTTTTGCACTCTTAACCGCGCGCAGTCTTTGTTGAGATTTTTTCGCCATTAATTTCATTGATTCGTTCATTTGTTTATATGGATCATGCTTTTCAACAATTCGCATAATTGCTGGATCATGAAGATGTGGTATTCCGAAAATCGGATCTTTATAAACTTCTTTTTCTTCTTTCCTTTTAGAGTCCGTTATAATTTTGCAAGTTATACGTTTACATGTCAAAATACTTTACAATTTATTTTATACTATTAGATTTTCGCCCAATTTTCCGCCATTTTGACTTGGAACTAGAGCTTGCGAGGTACTGATTTTATATCAGTACCTCGCAGACTCTAGTCCTCTATATGGCGCCGAGAAATTTTGGTGAAATGTTGTCGCATTTCACCAATTTTTTTTCTCGGCGCCAAAGTATGAATTGCCGGGTGAGAGATGTTATTTCATGTAATAACACTCTCACCCTACAATTCCAACTCTAAATGGGAGAAACTTTTTTTGAATGTTATCTTAGTCCTTAGCAAAGTTTCTCCCATTTAGAGAAGAAAATAGGAACCTACTAGGCACTGACTCTATATCAGTGCCTTGCGGGCTCCTATTCTAAATAGAAAGTTCGAAAACTTTGATGTAATCAGATCCAAATGCATCAAAGTTTTCGAACTTCTCTGAGGGAATTGAAGGGTAAGAGGTATATGGTCTATACATGTCCCTCCTACCCTTCAGTTCCCACTTTAAATTGGAGAAACTTAATGGAATTGAATAATGTATTGATTTATCAGAATCTAATTTAGAAATTGACTGTGACAAAAGAGATGCTAACGATATTCATAGATATGTGCATGATTATGTCTAGGTATTTTCCCGAACTTCTATCATTTTCAACATTTGAGGAAAAACCTGATATGAACAATTTGATAAATAGTGAATATGCTTGACCTTCACTGAGATTTGCACTATTTGTTTTCGAGATTGAATGATCAATTCATTTATTTTTGCAAAGAAATTATGAGTGTTAGGTACACTTATGATCAACTTATTGACAGCTATTTCAGATCAATTAATAATCGTATGAGTAAGTTTTCAGCGGAAAAATGCATCGAATTTGTGAAACAGAATAAACCAAATTACAACGAAGAGCAATTCATGAAAAAACTCGCAATAAAGCTCCTAGAATTAGATGACTTGATACAGGATTATGATTCCACAGATCTGGATGATGAAGAAGAGGAAAAATCAAAATAGATTGAAATAAATTTAGCAAAGTCGTCCTGCTACCATCATTTCATTGCTATTACATATAATTTTGATGTGTTTTTATTCATAATATTGCGGTCATTAACTAAAAGCGATATTAGGATTAGTTTAGCATAGGAAATTGTTAATTTCGGCAATTGTTTAGAATTTGTAGAACTTTTAATATGAAAGTCCCGAAACAATAACAGTATTTTCGAACTTTCTTATTGTTTTATAAACATTTTCGAACATAAATTGTGTTATAGCAACGTTATTTGTCTGAATAAATTCATAAAGCTCTGTAATACCTTTAGCTCTTTCCTCAATTCTCAATTATCAATCATTTATTATCATTATTGATTAAGAATTCTGATTGTATGATATAGCTACATATTATACTTGTTACCTCCACATAGAGTCATAAATTCACGATAATTGGAGAATCTAGAATCACAACTGAACAAATATTGATTTGATCCGTGCAACATCAGTCATATTTTCATATACTACTCACCAAATATATTTTTCAAATGTGATAATTAAGGATGTCAATTCGGAAAATTGTTTTCGTTTTAGGAGAATATAATTTTCCATTTGGAAAATTTAAAAAGTGAGACGCGCAGGATTCGAACTTTTTTAAAAGTTGATTTAAATATATTCTAGTGTGGAATCTAAGGATAATATCATATTTAAAATAAGAATATACGAGTTTAGGTAGTATTATTTTTTCGATAAATTTGAGAGTATGTACGTTTAGGGCATCAAAAGTGTCAATTCGCTCAGCGAAAGCTGAGCTAGCTTCGTTCTCGAAAAAATAGGGAAGAAGTGAAGGAGAGTGATACAGAAGTTGACACATTCATATAATTTCAACAAATTTGATCAAATTGAAATTCAATGAAATTCAATTCACTTCATATCCTTCAGTCAGTACATTGACATCCTTCTACATCACAATGATAACTCGGGAATCAATAGTTCTACAACTAACTCAGAAAAAAAACAAGATTTTTACTTCCAGCTTGCAGCTTTTAAAAAGTTTCGATGATAAAAATCACTCTACTCTTGTTTATAGATATGTGATGATAGTAGGTAAACATATTCTTATCGATTTTAATAAAAATATTTTTACGAAAATCTGAACCAATTACAGAGTTATTCATAAAGTTTATGATAACTGTAATTATTTCATCTTTGTTTTATATTTGAATAAACAATTTAATTTAAATTGCATAATATTTTTTGGTTGAAAGACAGGAAACTTAGTTGAGTTTGTATTATTTTTATCGTTTAATTCATCGTATCAGTGAGTGATCCAGATATTTAAGATATTTAGAAAAAAATTATTAATTTGATTAACAAATTTTAATCAAAATAGCAAAAATCTATTTGATAGCTGTAAACAAACAATAATTTTTATTTCAAGCAAAATCACTTATTTTCATCTAAACGTATAAAATTGTCAATTTTATAAAAATAAATTGAAAATCTCAAGAAATGTAAAGGAGAGTAATATTTTTCAATTTTCTTTTTTCTTTGTCTCAAATATTTTCTGTTGGGAATTTTCTTGTTATCAAAAATAATTTTAATATTTGTTTATTTTATTACATACAATAAAATTTTAAAAACTCTATTTCTTCTCAAGAAAATTTTTTCCCTTCATATGAAGAAACATTTTGTTCTCCATTTGATACTGAGTCTAAATCTCGATTTTTGAATTTTCTTCTTTCCAAATTTCTTTTTTCCAAATTAGAAGTTTAATTCAAATTTTCAATAGTTTATATATTTTCTCAAACCGTCTCAGATTTTCTCACTTTTTAGGGATTTTCTCTCAAAATATACAAAAATAGTAATATCAATACATGTGTCTAATATACTTTAAAACCATCGTGACAAAATTCAAAAACGAAGAGTTCTTCTCTCCAAATTTTTTTCAAAATCAAAAAAATGAGATCAAAAAGTATGTTTGGAAAATTCATTTTTAGCATTTTAGGAATTTTCTCACTTTTCTTCCAAATTGACATCCTTAGTGATAATAATAAAATTTAGTTATTTCAGTGAAATCTCTAACTAAATTTCATTCAATATCAATAAATTTCAGACCTGTCTATCGCTCTAAGGCACAGTTAGCTTGTACACAATAAAACATTCAAGTTGGAAAGCATTGCAGAGATGAGGAACTTCTAAATAACTTAGAAATTTAATTTTTTTTACCAAACTATAGTTCCATATCAAAATCTTTGGAAATGATATCATTGAATTTGATTTATTTTGAATATCTCAGAAATTTGAATAGGTGGTTTATTTTAATTAACTGGAGGATTACAATGATCCAGGTACTATTCTATTATCTACAAAAGATGTTGTTAGTATTTCAATCCGAGCATCATGTATCACACTTGCAGGAACATATAGCGATAATCAATGTAATAACTTTGTATTTCAAGGAAGTCAATCTACTCTTGAATCAGTCTCATTTCCATCAGGATCACAACTTGAAACGGTTTCAGACTGTGCTTTTTATCAATGCACTAAACTTTCAGCAGTTGATTTCACAAATTGTGAATATCTTACAATTATCAAACAACGTGCATTTTATTCATGCAGTTCTCTAACAAGTGTTATTCTTCCAGCACACTTAAGTAAAATTGAAGATTCTGCTTTTGCGTACACAAAAATCACAAGTATTTCAATTCTGAAAGAAGTTTTAGAATTAAAACAATATTGCTTTTATCAATGCACATCGTTATCACTTGTAAATATTCCAACAGATTCGAAACTTCAAAGAATTGAATTTAACGCTTTTCAATCTTCAATAATAACAACACTTTATATTCCAGAAAAAGTATCTTATTTCCATCCGAATTCACTTGAGAAAGTTTCACCTTTAAGATCTATTACATGTCATCCTTTGAATCCAAATTTTATTTCAGACAATGAAATTTTATTCTCAAAAGATAAATCTAAAATTGTTAAATATCCAAATGATATTGGACCATCATACAAAGTTCCTACATATGTAACAATAATAGGATCTCATTCATTCATATCAACTAAGATCGAATCAATAGAATTACATGATAAAATTACCAAGATAGAAGATTATGCGTTTTGTATTGGAAGCTTAAAGAGTATAGATATCCCAGATTCAGTTAAAATTATTCAAACAGGAGCATTTTCATATTGTTTTTCATTAACAAAAGTAAAACTCTCATCGAATATTACAACACTCTACTTGAATACATTCAAAAATTGCCCAATTAGAGAAATAGTTATTCCAGAAGGAGTAACAACTATATACCAAAAAGCTTTTGATGGATGCAAAAATCTTCAAAATGTTCAATTACCTTCAACAATCAAGAAGTTAGAAGGAGGTGCATTTCCAAAAAATGTTAATCTAGGATTTGCTCCAGGTGCTCAATTAACATTAGATGATCAAATGATTATGTATGATATATACAAAAACACTGTCATTCAGTTGACAAACGACATCGAATCAGTTACATTACCATCGAATGTCACAACAATATCAAGTTATTCATTTGCAAACTCAAAATTATTGCGTACAGTAAACTTCGAATCAAATAATAAACTCACAACAATCATGGTCAATGCATTTGATGGTTGCAGTTCATTATCGACAATCACACTTCCAACAAGTTTGACCACTATTGATCAATATGCATTTAGTTATTGTTCAACTTTGAGATCAATTTCATTTCCTAACTCACTGACATCTATTGGAAGAAACGCATTTCAATATTGCACATCACTCACAACAATTACTTTCTCAAATGTAGTTTCAATGACTATTAAAGAATATTGTTTCATTAACTGTAATTTGTTAGATTCTGTATCATTTGGAAATGGCTTGAGTTCATTAGGATTCAATTGTTTTGAGAATTGCACTCGACTTGAACAGTTAAGATTTCCTGCATCACTCAAATCGATCGGTATGAACTGCTTCTTCAATTCAGGTCTGAAGAATGTCATCTTCCCAGAAGACAGTGTTTTCTACGACATCAGTCCATCATCATTCCGAGGATGCACACAACTTACAAATATCCAACTTCCTGTCAATGTCCGAATTCTTGGCGAAAACTGTTTCGAATCTACTAAGCTCTCTATTTTCAGTGTTCCATGTTCTGTTGTCACTATCAGCAGTTATTCATTCCGAAACTGTTATGAACTTAGTGAATTCATCATTGTTGAAAACAACAATCTGAAAACGATCGAAGATCGTGCATTTGATGGCTGCACTCGTCTTCGTTTGTTCCGAATCGAATCGAGTAACTTCTTCACCGTATTCAACGGTGCACTTTTTAACAAAAACATGTCTACACTTATTTGTTTCCCACCAGCATCTTCTATCAAGTACTTCTCATTCCCCGAAGAAGTTCGCATTGTTGGTAGTGGTGCATTCTTTGGATGTCGTAGCATCATGAGTATTCTTATCCCAGACAACTCCATCGAACGTATTGGAACGTTTTCATTCGCAAACTGCACTTCTCTTAAGATGATTAATATTCCATCATCTATCAAAATTATTGAGAATGGTGCATTTTCAGGGTGCATTTCTCTTAAATGTGGTGTCTTCATCGATAACAAAGAACGAAGATTCATTCAAGAACTTATTGAAACATCTCTTCTTCCAGTTACTGCCATTAACGAGTGTGGTCTTTTTAGTTGCAAAGTACACAACAAATTTGACATCCCAGTCTCTCCTTCATACTTATTTGTTTTCATTCTCATGTAAATTGTATATTATTTGTATTTACCTTTTTAAATATATCCCTTTCTTAATGATTCCTATAGATTTGAATGATTTAAATCATCATAAAATACTTATTTCACTAAATATTAAGCTAAGAATTTAATCAAACACAAATGAAATCTAGAATGGTTTTCATAGTTTATTGATTTGTTATCTTAAATTCGGTGGTCAATTCCGGTTGAAAAGACTCAAAAAAATCCGGATCTGGCTAATTACAAACTAAATTATTTTTATTTTATGGTTCTCTATTATTCTCAAATAAAGAATGAAAATGTTTAAACATCAATGAAAAGGAAACGATTTTTGTTTAATCTGATATTAATATTTTTTTGTAAAACAATAAAAAATAAAATAAAAAATAAATAAAATTATTCTGGAGCGAAAAATCCCCAAACTTCGAGATCGTCAACCGCGAAATCCTTAGCTCCAGTCAGGAAATTCATTGCGGTGTCACTTCCATAAGCAACTCCTATTGTGTAAGAGTTCTCGAGTTCTGAATGGCATTCATCGAAATTTCCTGCGAAAACTAAGTCTCCGTTACCGAATTCCAACTTATCTCTTTCTCCCACCATGCAGATTTGTTCTTCTGCCTGTCCGTGGTTAGGAATGAAAGCGTCTTCAGTCAAAGAAAAGATGAAAGTGGAAGAACCTTTTCCGAAAGGAGTTCCATCGGAATTCCACTTTGTAGCACAGAAAGCACCAAACAATCTATCATTTGCCGATGCGACAATGATTGTTATACCTTTGTTATCAATCATTTTATGCAATTTCGGTATCGATCTTCCATCTCTATAAGTAGCAAACATCATGTGTGTTTCAGGCATTTCTTTGAATGGCAAACACATGTAAAGACGACGTTGCATTTCAGCATCAACAACTAGCTTTGATTCGAAGAAAGGCTGGAAGTTTAATTTCATTCCTTTCGATGAATATTTTTGCTCTTTTCTACTGGCAATTTTTGCCAATTTTGTGAAATGAGCTTTCTTTTCTTGTGGTTTTAGATATCTTTCATCGAACTCTTCTGGCTCTTCGTCCTGGCTGTTCTGAGTGACTTCGCGGGACATTGTTGCTGAGTTATCTGGTTCTGGCTCCATTCCTGCATCTGTTTCTGAAACAGCGGAATCACTTTCGTCATCAACATCGAGTTTTGAAACTTCCAATTTACCGTAAACAGCAAATTGGTCGTTTGATCGTGGAAGTGATGGAATATCTGTTCCTGCCTTGAGTTCATCAATAATCTCATTCCGATGTGTCAAAGCATTGAGAAAAGTGACAGGATCAGAATTAGTTTTATGGAATTGGATGTTTTCTTCGTATTTCTCGACTTCATCGAGTTTTCTTTGCAACTCTGCTTTGACTGATTTGATTGTTGTTGCTTTGCGACCACTTAATAACCTTAATTGCGTAATTGCTTCTTGTGCAAGTCTATTTATCTCTGCTTCGACAGCTCTCGTGTTCTCGTTGAGTGTATTGAGCCTGGTGGTCGCTGTCTGCAAATCTCCTTTCAATTTCGAAATTCGGCCATTCAAAATTGCCGACAGTTTTTTAATGGAATTCAAACCGTCGTTGTAAGCCTTTGTGAGTGGGATAAGCTTATGATTCTGGAACTCTCCTTTAGAGTGGTTGCCACTGATCTTACATTCCATGCAGACAGGCATGTGGCATTTCTCGCAGTAGTATTGCAACATTGAACTTGGATGATGTGGGCAAGGGATGGTTTCTGCGGTTGCTTCTGAGATTGGACGACGTTTGTGATTCATTAAGAGTTTGTTTCCGTTGTGTAATTCGGCATCACATTTCGTACATAATTTTACTTGGTCTTGTTCGCACCAAAGAGTGGCATTTGGCTTACCACAGTTTGAGCAGTAGTGTACTTCTTTCTTATCTGAGGCTGCGTTGTCGCCACCAAGGAATCTAACGAGATGAACGCTTTTGATTTGTGATTGATTGTAAATGATGTATTCTCCATCTGCGGAGATACGAACTGAGTGATTTGTGCCTAAGTAGCTCTCTGGTACTTCGCCTGTAGCGTATGTTTCGTCTGAAGTTTCGCAATCTTCACGTTGGAAGTTAATTACGTTGCCGAGAGCGACAATGCAATGAATGTATTGGTATGATTTGGCTGTCTCATCGAGTTTAATAGATCCTACACGTATCTTAAGCCCTCCTTTTTGACGAAGTTTAATTCCGCGGTGCATAATATCAGCCAATGGCTGTGATAATTCTTTAACATTAAGGAAAATATCAACGATATTTGCAACTGGAAGCTTTTCAACATATGAATTGAATTCATTAATTTGTTTTGCTTCTCCAATATCATACATTTCGGATATTTTGAATTTCGGTGTGTTGAGTTGGTTCTGCATGATGTATTGAACTAACCCAAATTCATTCGAATATGGAGATAGTTGTGGAATATTCGCCATTTTTTGATTTTTTTTACAACCTAAAAAATTTTGTTAACGTTCAACAGTTAAGAATTTTTTTATTTGTTTAATTTCATCTAAATATGAGAACCAATCAATAAGCTGTATTTTTGATGATAAAATTTCTAGATTTCTCTTGTTTTTGTTAATCCCTTCAATTTTTTTCAATTTTAGCCTATCAATTGTATCTTCTATTAGTTAGATGCGGTCTTTTAAAAATATATTCAAAGAATCAACTGATTTTGAGTGATATGCAATAAAGATCTTGATTCGATTATAAAAAAGAACCATCGCACTTTTGTCTAATGCATTAAAAGTTTATTTGTCAACAAAAAAGTAATTATTGATGTTAAAATTAGAAAATAAAAAAATTATTTGGTATTTTTTTCTGCCCTAAAAGACAGCTCATTCTTTCTAGCAACGAATTCGGGCAATGGAACTACCAAGTTGAGTTTCTCTATAATTCGTTCAATAGGGAAATTATTATTGATTAAATGTTCAACCTGATCAAGAATTCCTGCCTGGAACAATTTCTCGAACTCAAGTTTCTGTTCTTTCTCAAGCTTCGTTGCTTTTTTTAAGACGCAGTTTTTAATAAAAGCTGCATCTATTCTTTTTTCTGGTTCTGGTGCAATGCAGCGCAATACTAGTGATTTCAATTTGTATTTATTATTATATAGCTCTTTAATCCTATCCTTGCTTTTCATTTTTTCCTCGATTTCAGATACTTTTTTAATTTGTATACTTTCCAGGAGAATATTGATATCATTTTTCAATTCATCGTACATATCCTTGAGTTCTTTATTACGTAAGTCACGTGGAGTAATGCCATTGAATGCTTTAAGATCATCTGGGTATCTACTAACAAGGGAAATGATTTCCTCAATATCATTTTCCGTTTCTTTAATAGAACTATCGAAATTCTGTAGAAGATGATCAATATTTGCTAAAACGCCTTGAACTTGATCTAATTCAATATTGATCAATCGCCAATCGATTAAAAAAGGGTGCTGCAGCCAAAAAAACCTAGGAACAAAGAATATAGAGTCTCATAAATATCCCTTGATTGAAGTTGGTGAGGACATGAAAATATGAATGTAATAGTTGTCAATGATATGACGCTTTTTTACATAATATTTACTATGTTTTTTATGGTTTCACTGTGTCAGGTGTTTAAACTTTGAATTATATACTAAAAAATTATGAAATTCAAAGAATCATGGTTTCTCCATTTACCTCAAACTCACCAATTCAAATCACCATGATATCACTATTTTTTTATATAAGATTCTATCAAAAATCGAAGATACACATTTTTATAGCTCAGCAGGGTTATTTTTATATTTGTTTTTATATCTGGGCATTTTTATATAAACAAATAAAAAGTTAGACCCAATTTAAGATATATGACCTAAATAATGAGTGTATAAGTACTGTTTGGTGAGTTAAACAACACAAAATGTTTAAAAATGCCATAGATAAGTGCAGTTTGCGAATGAAAACGTTCCAATACGTTCGATGGAGTTGTCTGGGATAAGAATACTCATGATACTACGACATCCAAAGAATGCACCACTACCAACAATGCGAACTTCTTCGGGGAATGAGAAGTACTTGATAGAAGATGCTGGTGGGAAACAAATAAGTGTAGACATGTTTTTGTTAAAAAGTGCACCGTTGAATACGGTGAAGAAGTTACTCGATTCAATTCGGAACAAACGAAGACGAGTGCAGCCATCAAATGCACGATCTTCGATCGTTTTCAGATTGTTGTTTTCAACAATGATGAATTCACTAAGTTCATAACAGTTTCGGAATGAATAACTGCTGATAGTGACAACAGAACATGGAACACTGAAAATAGAGAGCTTAGTAGATTCGAAACAGTTTTCGCCAAGACTTCGGACATTGACAGGAAGTTGGATATTTGTAAGTTGTGTGCATCCTCGGAATGATGATGGACTGATGTCGTAGAAAACACTGTCTTCTGGAAAGATGACATTCTTCAGACCTGAATTGAAGAAGCAGTTCATACCGATCGATTTGAGTGATGCAGGAAATCTTAACTGTTCAAGTCGAATGCAATTCTCAAAACAGTTGAATCCTAATGAACTCAAGCCATTTCCAAATGATACAGAATCTAACAAATTACAGTTAATGAAACAATATTCTTTAATAGTCATTGAAACTACATTTGAGAAAGTAATTGTTGTGAGTGATGTGCAATATTGAAATGCGTTTCTTCCAATAGATGTCAGTGAGTTAGGAAATGAAATTGATCTCAAAGTTGAACAATAACTAAATGCATATTGATCAATAGTGGTCAAACTTGTTGGAAGTGTGATTGTCGATAATGAACTGCAACCATCAAATGCATTGACCATGATTGTTGTGAGTTTATTATTTGATTCGAAGTTTACTGTACGCAATAATTTTGAGTTTGCAAATGAATAACTTGATATCGTTGTGACATTCGATGTGTTGTTACCCAAAACAGTATCATGTTTACTTGAAAATAAAATGAAATAAAAATTATTATTTATATTTAAACCACAAAATGAAATTAAACAAAAAATATTGTATTAACAAATCTAAACAGCGCTGTTGTTCCATACAATCTGATCAGTTGAACCTAAACCTTCATTTAATTTCATATTTGTGTCCTTTTCTTTCTTAGTAACTTTGTCGAAGACAACAGTTCTAGTTGGTCTTACAAATCTTGGATCGCGGAACATATCGGCCGGAATGTACGGGATATAAGACCTTCTTCGAATATCTCTGAGCATAATGAACTTTTCGATATCGGATTTAGGAACTGGTGGGATGGCAATAATTGGCATGTCATCATCAGTAAGAATTGCGCCATCTGTGTTAATATCGTCGAAAACTTGATGGCCGACGTCAATAAGAGTCTGTATAATCTTGTTTTGAATAGCATTGTTGATGAGTGTTGCCTCTTTGCTTGTATCAAGTGAACAAAGAAGATTTTGTGAGAAAACGATAGCAAGATTAACTGCATTCATCTTGTTCTTTGCTTTATTTTCTTCGATCTCAAGGATGTATTTAAATAAGTAAGCAATCGTAAGTTGTCTTGGTTTTGATAATTTTTCGAAACTGGCTTTGTATTTTTCAATCATAATTTGTTTGTTAGCTTGATTTGATGCATCTTGAAGATCTCCATATATAGAATGTGGGAACAATGGATAGTTTGGTATCATTTCTCTGAAATATTTCTTTAAGGTGCAAGCAATTGTGTGTACGCTATTATACTTTGACCAGTCCTTAACTCTTCCTGAATCAAGTTCCAGAAGAAGTTCTGTTACTTGTGCAGCGGATCCACTTAATCTGAAAATTCCTTCTGCATCTGTGGCGTTTTGCTTGCGGAGTTCATCAATAATGTCGGTTACAATGAAGGGAATTTTGCCTCCGAACTGTTCTGGTTGGCGAGAAAAGAAACGAGGGGCTCTCCTATTCATGAATTTTTTTTTCTTCGGAAAGTGTCAAATGAAAACTCGTCACTTTTTCTTGATAAAAAAAATTCAAAAGGAGTTATATATAATAAATTCGATATTATAACATTTTTCTTTTCATACTGTGGAAATGCTCGGTTCAAAATGGAAAAAGACCGTAAACTACAAGATTTTAATAATAAAAATAACAAATTTTGATTGTGACTAGTCATAATATGCATAAATTGTTTATGCCAATCAAATCAAGCTCTTTGCAAAAGAATTATTTGGAATTTTAATTTATATATCGATAACATTAATGATGAGTATATATTTTATTTTGTCTATCATGATTTATTTCTCAATGTATGTCTTCTGACTCATTCCTAAGAGACTTCAATAAGAATTTGGGCGCGTAAAGGATTGGCGTCCTAAGGCGTCCTGATGTAAACTATTCATTTTTTGAGAAGTTTACACCATAATTGAATAGTTTATGGCGTCCTGAGAGGAGATTTCAATGGTTATGGCGTCCTAAAAAAAAGAAGAAAATGATTTTTTCTCGATTTTTCTAGAAATTGAATTTTTTAAAAAAGAAAAAAATCAAAACGTATACATTCAAGAAAGACTATAAATGAAGATTTTTCTATTTTTTTTCATTCTAAAACATCTTTTTTTGGATAATTTTTTTTAATAAATATGTAAGAAAGATTGAAAAAAAGTAAATTTACTTTAAGAAAATTCGTTTTACATGATGTAAGACCCATAACAACTATAAATATTCAATTATTTAAAATAAAAAAAGAAAAACAGATTAAATGTATCTCACATCAAAATCCATTGACCTAAGGATGTTAAGTTTCTGTTTTTAAAAGTTGATATTTTTTTTTTAATTTTAAGAAAATTAATAGCATGTTATTAGACAATAGGAGTGTAATGATATTGACTAAACAGAAATGAGAGAATAGAGATATAATTTTGATAAGCAATATTGCGAACAAATTCTGAAGTAAAATCGCGATCAATAATTGAAAATTACGATCATGTACTGAAAAATGACGATCGAATTGAATGAATAGAATTATATCTAAGAAAAAATAAATTGTATTTAGAAGATGAACAAAGAAAGGTGTATGCTAAAAATCATTTAACAATAAATGGAAATAAAACGAAATTGTTAAAAGAAAAAAATGAAAATTGTTAAGGGTGCACACGAGAGGATCATGTAAACTTCAGAATTTAGAACCTTATTTTTAGGCATTATCTTGGCTACCTATTTAGGCTCGAAAAGCAAAAAATATCAAAAAATACAACTTGACTCCATTATGACCCTTTCATGGAGGTAGTTTTTCTCCGCTAGTATTTTCCCTTTGAATCTCTTTACAATTCGAAATCAAATTCAAAACTCAGTAGAAGAAAGGAAGAATCGACTTACTACGGTTGTAATACGAATAAATACATATATTTAATTATTTTTATTTACATAATAATTGTTTGAAGCTCATATTCCAACAAATTTTTAAATAAAAACATTAAAATGTTGAAAATGTTCATATATTTTAATAGGGTTTTGGCACTTTATTGAGGAATTACTACATACATAGTCGAACTGAACTTGATATTTTGAAATTTAAATTATTTATCAAAATTAAAATTTAACTTGAAATTTATAATTATTTAGTCATATTTTGCATAATTCAAAAAAAAAAAAAAAAAAAAAAGGTAGTGAGGCTTCCAGGCACTTCGTGCCTTCTAGCCTTGAAGTTGATGAGTATAATGAAGTTCTTATATATACGGGTCTTCCAGGAGCTTTTCACAAATTATATATGTTTTCATGTTTTGTCAAGACTTCTTCGTAAATGTTTTGTCAAGACTTCTTCGTAAATGTTTTGTCAAGATTTCATCGTAAATGTTTTGTCAAGATTTCATCGTAAATGTTTTGTCAAGATTTCTTCGTAAATGTTTTTTCAAGACTTCTTCGTAAATGTTTTGTCAAGACTTCTTCGTAAATGTTTTGTCAAGACTTCTTCGTAAATGTTTTGTCAAGACTTCTTCGTACATGTTTTGTCAAGACTTCTTCGTAAAATGTTTTGTCAAGACTTCTTCGTAAATGTTTTGTCAAGACTTCTTCGTAAATGTTTTGTCAAGACTTCTTCGTAAATGTTTTGTCAAGACTTCTTCGTAAATGTTTTGTCAAGACTTCTTCGTACATGTTTTGTCAAGACTTCTTCGTAAAATGTTTTGTCAAGACTTCTTCGTAAATGTTTTGTCAAGACTTCTTCGTAAATGTTTTGTCAAGACTTCTTCGTAAATGTTTTGTCAAGACTTCTTCGTAAATGTTTTGTCAAGATTTCTTCGTAAATGTTTTGTCAAGATTTCTTCGTAAATGTTTTGTCAAGATTTCTTCGTAAAATCAGACAAAAATAAAGTTTAGGGTAGAAGGTTAGATCTAACCTCTTTTCTAACCTCTTTTCTACCCTCTTGAATTTGTCATGATTTCTTCGTACATGTTTTGTCAAGACTTCTTCGTACATGTTTTGTCAAGACTTCTTCGTAAAATCAGACAAAAATATATTTTAGGTGAAGAGGTGAGATCTCACCTGTTTTCTCACCTGTTTTCTCACCTCTTGAATTTTCATGATTTCATCGTAAATGTTTTGTCAAGACTTCTTCGTAAAATGTTTTGTCAAGACTTCTTCGTACATGTTTTGTCACTTTTCTGTCACTTTTCAGGAAAAAACATTTTTATTATTATATATAAATGAATTTTACAAAACCACCGTTACCGTTCTTTGGAAATAAGAGTAGATGTAAAGATATTATATTGAGAGAACTTAAGAAACTACCGAATGGTCTAACATTTGTAGATTTGTTCGGTGGAAGTTTCTATATATCCCATTTGTGCCATATAATATTCCCAGACTCAAAGATTATATGCAATGACTTCGACAACTATATGGACCGTCTCAAACATATTCCAGACACTAACAAAATATTGAAAGAGTTAAAAGAAAAGATACCTATAGGTAAGATGGAACGTATACCATTAGATAACAAAAATATTGTGAGAGAGGTTTTGAAAAAAGCAGAATATATAGACTGGAATAGTATATCTGCTAGACTATTATATAGTGGTGCTATAAGAGTTCATGACATTGAAACACTTATGTCAAAAGTTTTATATCTTAACTATACAAATGTTTTCAAAGAGGACATAGATAAATATATTGAGGGTATAGAGTTTGTGAGATGTCATTGGACAGATTTGTATGAAAAATATAAAGACAAGGAAAATGTTTTCTTTATAGTGGACCCGCCGTTCTATAACACATGGGATTTTCAATACCAAGTAGACTGGACTTTGAGAGACTCTTTAGAAACTTTAGACGTTATACATAACCATCCATGCTTTTACTTTACATCCGATAAAAGTGGTTTGGAAACCGTTATGAGATGGTTAGAGGACATACATGACTATGAGTTTATATATGACAAGATAGAATATGAGAGAGGTCCTATAAACTGGAGAAAGTGTCACAATAAAGAAATTTTATTAGTAAGTAAATGTGGTTTGAAATCGGACTACTTGTTTTAGGTTTTTTCCATTGTGTCATTTATTTCTTTGACGTGGCAGAAAAGTACAGAGAATATGAAGATGAACCAATGCCTGCAAATGTTCAGTATATGTACTCGTAAGAGATATTTTTATCTAATATTAAATGGACGCACAGAACTTAGCGAATGCACAGCAACCTGGACAACCAAACCCAGAGAATATTCCAAATGAAGTTAGAATACAAACTGCAATGGCAAACTATGGTCAAGTGCCAACAGATGTACAAATGCAAACTGCCATGTCAAATGACGCTGCGTTAGGTTTGCCACCATGGTATGCAAATATGAGATGGAAAGAGTTTTATACAAACCCTGAAGTCGGATATAAACAACTTTATGCAGATGACGCGAACACAGGAGTTGACCCAGAATATGTTTTCTACCAGAGGAGAAACAGAATGTATGAGCTCCAGTTAAAGAATGCTATGGAACTCAACAGGAAACGTAAGAGACTAGGCGGACATTAGATTTTTACATATAGTAAAATGGGTTTCTTCAGTAAGATAGGAAACTTCTTTCGAAATGTTGGAAGAGGTATATGGAATGGAATAAAAACCGTAGGAAGAGGAATTTGGAACGGAGTCAAAAATATTGGTAAAAGGGTAGGTCAGTTCGTTGGTATTATACCTAAAGACCCTGAACCAGAAGAACAAGCTCCTGTTATACAACAGCCTGAACCTGCACCACAGTCTAGTTGGCAACCAAATCCAACACCTCAACCGTATTAAAAAGTTATATTTTTACCGTTCGATAGTAGTTGTATATGAAACTAAGTTCTAAGTAAAACGCATGGTATAATGGAATTATTCTTTTTCTTCCATCTGTAGTAAACCATACTTGAAAGTCTGAAATACTTCCACTTGGTGGTTCGTATAACTTTGTAGGTTTTTCGTAAAAGTCATTTGCCAAGCATAAGAAAGAGTTTTGGGCGCCAGAAAATGAAGCATGAACAATAATAGCATCTTGGTCGAAAACATTTTCATATGTTCCATTAGGGTTTTCGACTTCATAAAAGTCTGGGTGTACTGGATATGCTGCAGGCTGATTTAACATCCTCAAAAATCTATACCATGCCAAGTTGTTATATTTTGTAGAAATATAAACGTTTTCTCCAAGGTCTTCTATTCTATTGATTTTAACAGTTGCATTTTTCCTGTCATAAATAATATCGAGATGGTACTCTCCCTCGTCAATGTTATACTGGTTTGCATATTCGAGATAGATATCGTTTATTTTTTCTTGAAAAGCTTGAAGAGTTGTTTCTAAGTTTACAAGCAAACTAACTTGTAAAAGTTTTCCCTGTTCAAATTTCTCATACATACGTTTTTCTTTGTTATAGTATCGAACTTCAAAACCGACCGTAAATGGGAAACCATGTATGGCTTCTGAAATGAACTTCATTCTACGAAAGCCAA